AAATTACCACTTTTTCCGCACTAAAACAAGAACAGGTTATCATTAAGATATAAATTGTATTTGGTATTGAATTGATGGTTACAATAAAGCTCTTTCCCTATCTTCAAAACAACAACTTCCCAAAGAAGTAAAAAGCTAACCTTTTCAAACAATATTGCTTCTCTCTCACTTACCAACCTTACATTTCCCTGTATGGCCCTGGAAGATGACTGGTTAGCCAGAGACGGGTAAGATTCCTCAAGGGAGGAACAGGGAAGAGTGGCCCACTCCGGGGGGAAAACTTACCTAAAGGCCAGAGAGGAGTGGTGAGTGTGATGAGCCAGCGCAGGAAAAAGAGGACGAGGGCAAGCTGCTGCTGGTGTCGGGGGGAAGACGGGGCCCAGTTGGGGTGTCCCGTCTCCTGGGTTTCAGCACCAATGAAAGGAAAGGAGTGACACACAGCAGCAATTCACCGGAGAATTTTCCTTTATTAGGGAAAGGTGCTGGGTTATATAGGAAGGGGCATGAATTGATTGAGGTGTCACTTCTATGCGGCTGGTGGCTGTTGGCTAGGTGCTGGGATTGGGAGGGGGTCAAGAGGTGATTGGGCTTCAGGTGGCACCGGCGGGAACTGAGGACCCCCCCCCCCGAAGAGAAGCCGGAAGTTTGCCATCTTACTGGTGGGGGCCCTTCAATAATGAAAGGTAATTTTTTATTTAAAAGAAGCCTATGAGGAATACATTCATTAAGCCATCCAGAACACCTACCTTCTGTACCTATGACTCAACAGAGTTACACTCAAGCATCACCTCCCCAAAACTTACTCCTTCTGACATTTTTATCTTACAAATACTATTGATTTCCCAGGTACTTGGACTTAAAACCCAAGGTATGACTGAATGTGTGAGGTTTTCTTCTTTCACTCATATGTTCAGTGGCCAATACATGCTCTCATATTCCCCCCCACTTTCCCTGCCACTAACTGGTATTATACCCTCACTGGCTCCTGCCTGGTGTAATACCATGGCCACCTAACTCATCTCACCACAAAGGCCTTTCCGTACTCCAACCTACCCAACACATAATGTTACATATGGTCTGAGTTGCTTTCTGCCCAAATCACACTCCTGTTTTAATAATTTCACTGACTACTGAATTTGAACAAAAAATCTTATATGGGGCCTATTTAATTACCCCCTCACAATTTCAAAAGCCACCTGACATCTACCACCTACAGCTATCCTATGGCCTAATCCAAGACTCATCATGTTTTTCTATCTACATGCAATACCCTTTCCTCCTCTTCTGCTTCTTGAAATCCTATCTATCCTTTAAGGCCTAACATAAATGCAACCTCCTTCTTGAAGGCTTCTTGTTCCTCTCTACATTACCATCATCTATTCCCAGGTGTGATCTAGTCATTTATTTAATAAATATGTACAGAATTCTTGTTTTGTGCTCAGTGCTATGTGGACAGAAGACACACAATCTACTACAAAAGAGCTGCAAATCTACTGGGAAAGACATAACAAATAATTGTCAAACAAAGCAGAATAAAATACAGGCTTTATTAAGGAAGGTAAAAGTAATGCTATGTGGTTAGACAGAAGGCACAATTAACTGGGAATATAAAAGAAGGCTTCTCAAAGGAAATGGCACTGAACTGGTCCTTAAAGATGAGCATTTCCATGAGTAGAGAAGACAGAATTTCAGGCGAAAGACACACAATGAGCAGAGACTAAAGAGGCTCCTGCCTCTTCTACTTGACTATGAAATGCTGGAGTTGCTCAGGTTCCTCCCGGGCGTTCACTTCCTTCTACAGTCTCTCAGGGCCCATGGCTTCAGAAGCCACACAAACACAAAGCATTAACTCAAGGCCCTTCCCAGATCTCTCCTCTGAAAGTCAGACAGGAATAATCAAATGGATTGAATATTTGATACCAATGGAAGGATGCTGTCAATTATGGACTATAACCTAGTGGCTAAAGAAAAAGAAAAAGTGAAATATATAGAAGGTGCTGAATCCAAAGAGAAAGTAAAGAGAGATGTAATCCTGAAAGATCCACATATATATAGTAAATAGATTTTCAATACAAGTGTCAAGGTAATTCAGAGAGGTAACGCAGAAAGGATAGTTCTGTTTTGTTTTTTCCAACAAACGTTGCTGGAACATATTCATATACAAAAAAGTAAAAAATAGCACATCTCACAAGTTAATACACAAAAATAACCTTGAAAAAGATTGCAAGTGTAGATGTAAAACCTAAAATTATGTAGTTTCAAAAGAACATAGAGACCTTGTGATTTTGAGTCAGGCAATTTCTTAGATATAACACAAAAAAGCACAATGCACAAAAAAAATTGATAAATTGGACTTTCTCAAAACTAACAACTGCTCTTCACAGTACACTGTTAGGAAAATAAAAGGATAAGCCATGGAATGGGAGAAAATATTTGTAGAATGCACATCTGATAAAAGATCTGTATCCAGAATATATAAAGAAAACTTATAATTCAATTTTAAAAAGCCTAACAGCCTAATAAAAACATGATTAGCAAAACATTTGGACACTCACTTCACTAGATACACAAACTGCAAACAAGCATGGGAAAAGATGTTCAATCAAAACTGTTAGTGTTCAGAAAACACGAATTAAAACCACAACAACATACCACGACATAAATAGCTAAAATTAAAAAGCCTGACAATACCAAATGTCAGTGAATGCGTGGAACTTCAATTCTCCTACACTGCTGGCAGGAATATAAATCAAGTATTTCCATAAAAACAGACCTTTCTTAGAGGTAAACACAAAGGAAACATTCTTAAATTCAAAACCAGTGCTTCAGAATCCAAACCAGTCATTTTAGAGGGAGAACCACAGACCAATGAATAAAATACTCTATTTTTTTAACCCTAAAGACAGGAAGAATTTCAGATACCTTAAGCTTCAGATCATCCATATTGGAAAAGATCGATTCACTCAGAGTTTGTAAAGTTAAAAAGGGGTTAACATATAAAATATATAAAGAACTGACACACCTCAACAAACAAAAAGCAAATAACCTGATTTAAAAATGAGGAGAGGATATGAACAGACAATTCTCCAAAGAAATTCAGATGGTCAACAGACACATGAAAAGAAGTTCCACATCGCTAATCAACAGATAAATGCAAATTAAAACCACAACGAGATATCACCTCACACCAGCTGAATGGGCAATATCCAAAACAAAAATGACAAATGTTGGCGAGGATGTGAAGAAAGAAAAACCCTCCTACACTGTTGGTGAGAATGTAAATTAGTTCAACCACTGTGGAAAGCAATATGGAGGTTCCTCTAAAAACTCAAAATGGAAATACCATTTGATCGAGGAATTCCAATCCTAGGAATTTACCCTAAGAAAATAGTATCCCAGATTCAAAAAGATATATGCACCCCAATGTTTATCGCAGCACTATGTACAACAGCCAAGAAAAGGAAGCAACCTAAGGGTCACTCAGCAGATGAATGAATAAAGAAGATGTGGTACATATACACAATGGAATATTACTAAGCCATAAGAAGAAAACAAATCCTACCATTTGCAACAACATGGATGGAGCTAGAGGGGATTATGCTCAGTGAAATAAGCTAGGTGGAGAAAGACAAGTACCAAATTATTTCACTCATCTGTGGAGTATAAGAACAAAGGAAAAACTGAAGGAACAAAACAGCAGCAGAATCACAGAACTCAGGAAAGGACTAACAGTTGCCAAAGGGAAAGGGTCAGGGGAGGATGGGTGGGAAGGGAGGGATAAGGGCAAAAAAGGGGCATTGCTATTAGCAGACATAATGTAGGCGGGGGGGCATGGGATGGGCTGTACAGCACAGAGAAGACAAGTAGTGATTCTATAGCATCTTGTTATGCTAAGAGACACTGACTGTAATGGGGTATGTGGGGAGGACTTAATGATGGGGGGAGTCTAGTAAACATAATGTTGCTCATGTAATTGTAGATTAATGATACCAAAATTTAAAAAAAAACACAATAACCTTAAATAGAAGCCAGTAACTAACTACCTGACCTACACCAAACATTTCGGCGGAGAGGAGACCAAATTACAGTTCAGACCTAAAAGCAACGTATAACCGCGGGGCGCAAAACCTACCAAATTCACCTACTCCTCTCCGTACGACGGTTCACACTAGGATATAGCACAACCAGTACTCAGCTGGAAAAGGCGAGAACGCAGACTCTTAATGAAGGCAGCAATGGTCCCTAGACCCACTCGTGCCGCGAGGGCACTGCGGCCACCTCGCTGCTCCTCCGGAGCATTGGAGCCCAGCGCTCCGCTCCGCCTCCCACAGGGGACCGCGCCCCCACCTCGCCCCCTTCTTCCCCAAGACGAGCCAACGGCGACCCCTGCCACCTCCAAGCGCCCGGAGCTCCGGGCGCGAGGCCGAAGGGCACCTGGCACTGGGACGCGAGCCCGCGCTCCGCGACAGGTGCATCCTTCCGGGCCAACGTTTCCCTCCCAAACTCCCAAAGTTACTTAACAAGTCCCCGGAAGGCAATCGGGTGGGTTTCAGCCCCAAGCACTCAAAGTCAACCCTGCACCTCAAGCCCGCAGCCCACCCGCACCAGCCCGGGACCCCAGCCCGACCGCACTCACAGAGGGAGGATACTCGGGAGGGTGCTCTGCGCTTTTCGGGACAGGGGACGATCGGACCGCGGCCCGGAACCCGGACGCCGCGGGAGGGATTGGCCCGCGCCCGGCGACGGGCCCTGGGGGAGTGGTAAGGCGAGCCGCAAAAACTACTGGGGGGCGTCGCGAAGGGCGCTACACGGCGCAGAGGAGCGCTCGCCTCGGGAGTGAGGCCGCCGAAGCCGGCGGGGCCCACTTACGGCCGAACCCCGCGGAGCGGCGAGGGGGCGTTTCTCGCGCACGACTACCGTGCGACGGTTCCCGGCCGCCCACCTGCCCGCGGACAACGACCAGAGCCCGGACGCCACGTCGCGGTCTCTCTGCTACTCACAGGGCCTGAAGTCGCCATGCGCCTCGGGTCTCGTCGGCCACAGCAGGGATATTCTGTCCAGTGGAATCGCGAACGATTTGCCGGTCTTCACACCGCCGCCGCCATGTTTGAGAAGCCGCGCGCGGACCCGCGCCTGCCCCGCCCACGCCCCGCCCACGACAGCCCGCCCCGCCCACGACAGCCCGCGTGCCATTCTTTGGTCACGCACATTGTGACCACCCGCGCGGGCGTGGCCCGAGCCGGGGCCCCAGCCGGAAGCCCGCGCAGACGGTGCCGGGCGATGAGACACGGAGAGCCCGGGAAAGCCCTTAGCAGTTTTCCTTCATCTTCCCCCCACCATCTGCCCTCCCGCCAAAGAAAAAAGCCAGTCGCAACCCAAACACCCAAGACACTGGTGGGCTCCCCAACTGGGACCGCGGGGTCCGCGTCAAGTTCCATCCCGGGAACTTGCTCCTATTGGCCACCACCTTCGACTCTCGGCCGCCACCCACCCTGGACACGCAATGAAAAGGCAGCCGCTTCCCTAGAGCTCAAGCTGAAGTCCGATGAGCAAGGAAAATACAGCTCGTCAGAGCAACTTGACCAAAGCCCCTCTTTCGCGACTTGCAGCATTTTCCTTGAAAGAGCTTCCCCCCGTCCCCCCATGGGTTTTTGCCACGCGTTCCCCTCCAGCTGCACATTCTGCGTTTAGTTGTTTCCGTAAACCCAGGCTTGAGCTAACGGGAACTAGATTAACCCGGCGGGGAAAAGAATTCGCTCATTGGCTTTAGGGTGCTCGGAAGCGTCCACGAGTGTGCGCTTTTGGAGGGTGTCTCCTCTGTTCGATCCTCCTCGTCTCGGGAGGAGCGTTTACGCAGGTGGAAGTCGCACCGAGGGGAAAGCGGCAGGGGTAAAACAGCCCAAGGATCTCTGCACAGTGTAGCAAACAGAAAACCGTAGAAAAACATCCCACCCCTCCTTGTGAGGTTGGGTATGAACAGATCTAAAACTTTTGTTTGAAACACAAAACAGTGTGCTGTGTTAGCCAAAATAAACCATTGGCAGGCCTCTCTGCACCTCTTTCAAAACCTGTATGTAGGTTTTGCATCCGTGATCGCCTTAACGTAGTATATATAGAGCATTATCTATTTTTTTAAATCATAAGTGGGAAATCGGAGCCAAAACTTAACAAAAAACTGCGTTACATATCCACTGTCTACAATGCAAAATAAAACTATTCTCACACACAACTTTTGCACTATTAAACAAGGGCCAAATTAAAGGGTTTTGATTATATTGAAACATCGAGGAGTGGCATAAACTCAAATTGCTCTTATCTTGAATCCTTTAAAAATGAATCAATACATGTTAATGCGAAACTCAAGAAAACTTTATGGTGGAAAATCGAAAAACTAGGCCATTCATATGAAAATATTAAAGAGATTTGATCATATCAATTGTATAATATACATCACATGTGAGGAACGGAATGGTGACATGGTCTAAGATGAGGGTTCAAAAATGTCTTCTAAAGCCAGAAAGTTATCTTTAACAGAAAGAAATTAAAACAGGTTTAATCTAAGCAAACCCTTAGTAAAGCAAAACCCTTTAAGCGAAGCAAATCCGGGTTACAGAAGGGTGGGGATGGGGTCCGCAGTTAACTCTTAATTACTAGCCATTGTCTTTCTAATCATGACGCACTGGAAACATTTAAAATTCACCTCTACATTCTAAGTGGGAAAGATTTGGGCTGTCCCCTATGCCTGATTGTTGTATATACATATGCATATATATATATACACAGATTATACAATATGTATATATATATATATACACACACACACACACTCTATCTGACCAAAACCTCATCTACTTCCCCTATTTCTGTTTTTAACATGAAATTACTGAAGCCTTTACTTGAAAAATATAATTCACATTATCTATATTAAAACATCTTGTCAATGACTGTGTTTACAGCATTTATAGAAGTGTGACTGTTACATTGAATGTGAGTTAATGGTTAACAGTCAACCATCTACCTACCATGTCCTGAGAATCATGCTAGCTTCTTCAGATACATACTGTTCTTTCATAAAGTCCTTACGAGGTAGGTACCTTTATTCCCATTTTACACATGAGGAAATTGAATACTACATAGTTCATAAGTGGCAGAACCAACTTCTGAACATACACTTGAACATTTCCTATCCCACCCTTGGGAAATCATATGCTTTCCTCACAGGTTATTTTTATAAACATTCAATAATTCTTTTACTTACTTATACCCTGCTTTTCCTTTTCCCCCTTTGCCAAAATAAACTTGAGACAGCTCTTTAATGATGTTAGCATAGGTCGGAACATCACCGTCTCTTTTACATTATATGGGAGTACCCCACACACAGTAGAAATCTAGTAAATATTTGTTGAACTAGTGAATGGATCAATGGATGAATGAACACCTAGTATATGATGTTCAATTAATTTTTCTTTAAAATATGAAACTAAGGATAAGCAAAAAATGAAACATAAAATTAATTCAGTTCTATTTGAATTGAGAGAATAGACTAAGGCTGGTAAAATCCAAATTTTCGTGATCATTTTTCAAGCCTCAGATTTACTTCTGTCAACTGGCTCCTATAGTTCTGATTCAGCCTGTGATAACTTTAGAGATTTGTTGTCCCCACTAAGCTCAAATCCAATGTGAAATAGTCCTGTATCTCAAGTGTGCTTGATTACTTCCTTTGTACCTTTCTTTACAATTTATTAGTACACCAGAATGAAAAGATGAACTTCCTTCCAATTTAGGTAAATTTAATCTAGATTCCCATCAGCACACAGGGTTCTACTGAAACAATATTATCTGAATAAGTAAACATTTTAGGACAATTAGTGAAGACTCCTTAGTTTTCTCACTTCATGGGCTCCTTTCTCCCTAAAACACAGAAGCCTAAACAATAACTAAGATAAGCCTGGTAGAGACTACATATCCAAGGTATTCCTGGTAAACTCACCATTCCTATTTTCACCTTATGGGAAAAAATCCATAAAATACATATTAAATAACTAATAAATTAATTAAAATAGTAAATGAGTTTACAAACATCCTCAGATCGTTGTTTCTAACAAATTACCCCTTTTTCCCCACTAAAAGATGAACACATTATCATTAAGATATAAATTGTATTTGGTATTGAATTGATGGTTACAATAAAGCTCTTTTCCTATCTTCACAACAGTAACTTCCTTGGAAAAATATCAAAAGGTAAAATCTCATTCTTCAACAAACTGGAACAAATAGTTCTGAAATTCATATGGAACCACCAAAGACCCCGAATAGCCAAAGCAATCCTGAGAAGGAAGAAAAAAGTGGGGGCAGGTCTCACTCCCCAACTTCAAGCTCTACTACAAAGCCACAGTAATCAAGACAATTTGGTACTGGCACAAGAACAGAGCAAAAGACCAGTGCAACAGAATAGAGACTCCAGATATTAACCCAAACATATACAGTCAATTAATATACGATAAAGGAGCCATGGACATACAATGGGGAAATGACAGCCTCTTCAACAGCTGGTGTTGGCAAAATTGGACAGCTACATGTAAGACAATGAAACTGGATCACTGTCTAACCCCAAACACAAAAGTAAATTCGAAATGGATCAAAGACTTGAATGTAAGTCATGAAACCATACAACTCTTAGAAAAAAACATAGGCAAAAATCTCTTGGACATAAACATGAGCGACTTCTTCATGAACATATCTCCCCGGGCAAGGGAAACAAAAGCTAAAATGAACAAGTGGGACTATATCAAGCTGAAAAGCTTTTGTACAGCAAAGGACACCACCAATACAATAAAAAGGCAGCCTACAGTATGGGAGAATATATTCATAAATGACAGATCCGATAAAGGGTTGACATCTAAAATATATAAAGATCTCATGCACCTCAACAAACAAAAAGCAAATAATTCAATTAAAAACTGAGCAGAGGAGCTGAACAAGACACTTCTCCAAAGAAGAAGTTCAGATGGCCAACAGGCCCATGAAAAGATGCTCCACATCACTAGTCATCAGAGAAATGCAAATTAAAACCACAATGAGATATCACCTCACACCAGTAAGGATGGCCACCATCCAAAAGACAAACAACAACAAATGTTGGCCAGGTTGTGGAGAAAGGGGAACCCTCCTACACTGCTGGTGGGAATATAAATTAGTTCAACCATTGTGGAAAGCAGTATGGACGTTCCTCAAAAAACTCAAAATAGAAATACCATTTGACCCAGAAATTCCACTTCTAGGAATTTACCCTAAGAAATCAGCAGCCCAGTTTGAAAAAGATAGATGCACCCATATGTTTATCGCAGCACTATTTACAATAGCCAAGGAATGGAACCAACCTGTGTCCATCAGTAGATGAATAGATAAAGAAGATGTGGTACATATACACAATGGAATATTATTCAGCCATAAGAAGAAAACAAATCCTACCATTTGCAACAACATGGATGGAGCTAGAGGGTATTATGCTCAGTGAAATAAGCCAGGCAGAGAAAGACAAGTACCAAATGATTTCACTCATATGTGGAGTATAAGAACAAAGAAAAAAACTGAAGGAACAAAACAGCAGCAGAATCACAGAACCCAAGAAAGGACTAACAGTTGCCAAAGGGAAAGGGACTGGGGAGGATGGTTGGGAAGGGAGGGATAAGGGCAAAAAAGGGGCATTGCTATTAGCAGACATAATGTAGGCGGGGGGGCATGGGATGGGCTGTACAGCACAGAGAAGACAAGTAGTGATTCTATAGCATCTTGTTATGCTAATAGACACTGACTGTAATGGGGTATGTGGGGAGGACTTAATGATGGGGGGAGTCTAGTAAACATAATGTTGCTCATGTAATTGTAGATTAATGATACCAAAATTAAAATAAATATAAATATATATAAATAAATAAGGTGAAATCTGTGATATGATGGAGACTCTAGTCTAACAGGAAGAGTATGTCTTGTCAAAGGACATGGTGGTATTAGAAGATCTGAGTTCTTGTCTTGAATCCCGAGTCTGTCATCCACTAACCAGATTTGTTTAGAATCTTTCCATGCCTCGGCTTTTTTCGTTTTAAAAA